AAAAAAAAAAAAAAAATCCATCACCTCCCCTCCATTTCCCTCCAACCAAACGACCCCTAAGGGTTTCAAATTTCATTTGTATTTAGGGAGGATTCCACTTACCAACTCTCCCCAAAAAGCATATAAAATCATGCATGTATATTTGGTCAACTCATTGAATGCAATATTTTTTTCCACCCTTACTTTGGTACTGGTGATGCAAAAGTAAATAATATCAAATGCTAATTATAAATAAAAAAATATAGATAAATAATATTAAATAATAATTATAAATTAATAATTTGAGGTTAACATATAATATAATTTATGTATATCAGTTTGTGTAAACAATATAAAATTATCTTGTATAAAAGAACATAAAAACATATATGTTTAAAATATTAAAAGCATTTAAAATATGATATAACATATGTTCTCTGAGATTCAATAACTTGATGTTTTTCAATATCTGTTGTTTCAGGACTTGCAAGACATTCTCAATGATTGAATTTAGAGCTTTTGTTGCATCAAGCTCAACTTCCTTTTGATAAGAGAATGAAGAAGTTAGTTGACTATTTAGTGAACCATTTGTCTCTCATTTTCGAACCTCCTTCTTGAGGTCTTCCATTCTTCGTTTGATCCATTTTGACGCACTTGAGTCATGGAGTTTTGGTCTGGTTGTGAAGGTTCTTCATCACAGTTGTATCCTGCTAATATTTCTCCATGGGTAGCAAGTGCACCAGATTAAAACATGTGCTTAGATCTCAATCATCACATGATTCATCAGACTCACAATCACGAGTTTGAGAATAGTTCTTACCTTCATTAGATTATGATGGATTAATGATTGAAGAAAGACAAAGAAATTTGTCTCATGAATGAATTGTCATGTTGTTGGGGTGAAATATTGGTTCCTCAGCTTCTTCCTCCTCTGAGTTATCCCACATTGCCTTCAAGGACTTATTCTTCCTCAACCTTTTGACTTTCATATTTTGAGAAAGAAATGTTGGTTTGCTTGTCTTGAGAGGAACTCTTATTGGAGTTGTTGGTGTTATTGGATTTCTTTCCACCAAACTTGTTTTTGTACAATTTTTGTCTCATTTTGTGATAATTCATAATAATCAAGCAAAATGATTTTTCGAATTCCGTATCTTCATATAGTTAACCTTCCTCCCCGTCACTGTCTTCTGCATACGATGAAACATCGACCTTTAATTATAAATCTTTATTTTTAACTTGATCATAATTGATGTTGATCTCGAACATTCTGCGATCACCACGGAGGTCATCAATATTGTTGATGGACGGATCCGATCAACGGTTAAAGTAAAGTTTAATGAAAGTACAGGACTACAAATAACGAGAGAATACGAGTTAATTATATTTTATTACAAAATTGCAAGGTCGGCACTCTTGTACGAGGTCGGCACTTGCAATGAAGTTTGGTTTATTACAGAAATTAATTACAGATTTCTAGAGGGAGAAAGTAGATAGAAGGCAGAGTCGTTGAGTATTCAACAATCCAAAATAAATAAAATGAGTTGCTATTTATAGTATCCTTAAATGAGGTATTGTTCACCGGTCTTGTCGTACAGTAGTTCTGCAGGGCAGTTCGGTGCCTCCCTGATAGTTATTTAATGCAATTTGAGGTTTCTTCAATCATTGCCTGTCAGACATTTAATGTAAGCATGTGGAGCATTTAATGCCGACAGGCTTTTATGACTAGGCTCTAAAGTAGGGCTGCAGGCTATGACATCCCGTCCCATCGTCCAATGATGGCCCTCCAAGTGGAAATATTTAAATGTTACTGAGCCCCGCGCTCGCCTCAAGGTGACCGCCCAGGATACCCATGTCAGCACTTCTGCTGAATATGTTTCCTGGATCCTCATGATTCCTCTTTCAGTTCGGCATCCGGTGAGCCCGGCACCCCGGGTTTCCGACCTTAGGTGCCGGTCTTGTAAACGATTCCTGTGATAGTCGTGGTCATTTTTCCACGGGGGTCAGCCCGGCACTTCCGCATCGCCCCGGGTTCCTGACCCGGCTTTAGGGGGGTCACTTTTGTCTGGTTCAGTGTTGGCTAACTCGGATATCAACAAAGATCAAGTAGTTTGACTCTTTGAAAGCTTTCAAAAGTCATGATCTTGTCACGAAATCTTGTTGAAAGTGTCCTCATGATCTTTTGAACTTGACGTGCTTCAAAAATATCTTCTCAAAGCATCGCACTCTGATTCACTAGTTCACTGACTCTTGAGTAGTACAAATCAATGGTTTCATCCTCCTTCATCTTGATATCATCAAAGTCCAACGTCATACACTGAAGTTTTGAAGATTTTACATATTTGGATCCTTTGAACCAACATTCTAATATACACCATGCATATATAGCTATCGTGCATTGAACTATCATCTTGTGTCGTGTTTCATCAACGAGCATCAGAATTGTGTAGAAGGCTTGAAAACTACACATCCCTTGGTTTAAATACTTCTTCAATCTAAGACTGAATCCCATTGCCTGGGGATTTTCTCGTAAGTGGATATGTCCACCCGTTTTCTACTCTTTCCCAAGTACCTTTACCAAGTGTACTCAGGAAGATGGTCATCATCAATTTCATGTAAGAGTAATTCAAGCCATGTAGTTGTGGTGGTCTTTACATAGATACGCTATTAAGATTAATGGTTGCCCGTACGAAGATCCACAAAATCTTCGAATAAACTAACTAAAACCCGCTCTGGTACCAATTAAAAGTTTGGGGGTATGAAGTAAACAATTAATGTTCACTTAAATGCGGAAGCAGTTTAAACAGTAATTGAACCTTTAGGAGGGCATCCCACTCTCCTTTCACAAATCTTTCATTAAAGTAACTGTTTGGCCTATTACTACTATGATTTACAATGAAGACTCCCTCTTCCTAACCTATACTGTAATCACTTCACCCAATTACTTTTCTGGCCACTCCTCATGGACTTTTACAACATGAACCCCTCGTGAAGTAAAAAGTTGTTCATGCCAAAAACCTCAAAGATTAGATAAAAAATCTCACACTCAATCAGAGAACGGGTTCCCTAATTTGAGTACAAGTTCTCTAATTTGAGTACTCAATGAAAATAAACTAAAATAAAAAAAACTCAGTTTTTCAGTTTCTCGTACAACTTGCACACTCACTAAAAATTAATCAAAAGCTGTAAGAAACAAAGTGACTGTTCAATGCTCTATACACGGTGCTCCATAAGGTAATTTCAATCTGCCAGTCACATTCCTTAATATCTTTCAATCAGTCAATCGACTGTAATCTTGCTTCATCGTACATATAGTAAAATTGCTTGCATCGTCCGTAAGCTTGCCTTCAAATGGTTCGTGCATCTACACGTCTTTATCTTAATTAAAGGCAAGTATGGTGATCTGCAGATCTTCAATGTACTATGCATGGCAAGAAATCATCTCTTCTGATTTCCTACTAACAAATAAATAAATTTAACTTAGTCTATAAATAAACATACTAGAAAAATATGAAATAATATAAATTCAAACTTCCTTTTGACTTGAAGAATTTTCTTTTTTTCCGTCTTAATTTTGACTTAAGATACGACTCGGGATTTTTGATTTAATTCTAAATAAATTTGTTTATTACATCTTCTTTCTACAAGACAGTTCTGTTCAGGTATATAGGGGAAAGACATTCTATAAACAATCCCACTGTGAGACAACAAACGGTTTAGAGATAGGAACTCGCCCCTTCCACCACTTTGAAGTACTTTATTTCTTTTATCAAATTGAGTTTCTATTAGATTTTTTAGATGTTGAAATGCCTCTAAAGTATTAGATTTCTGTTAAAGTAGGTAAATCCAATTGTATCTGGTAGTATGGTCATGAGTGAAACATAATAGTGATAGTCATGACATGATGTAATGAGAGAGGGTCCCCATAAATCAGAATGTATCATGTCAAAGACTCAAAAT